TTTCATGATCTGAATCTTTACCAACTAAATAGTTGTCAATAATTATATTCGATGTTCAATATAATAAAATTGAAAATGGAAATCGGGAATGTGTCAGAAAAAGAATGTAAAAGACTTATGATTCACATTCTCGTATCATTTCCTTGTTGCTTTGTATGCTTTATGTCTAACAATTTCTTATCAAGTTATAGACTTGCAAGCATACACGAATATTACTTTCCATCTCAAGAGGTCAATTAAAAAATGCATCTGTTATAAACCTTTTTATATCTGCATATTCTTAAAAGCAATACAAATTAGAACTATATACAGGTTGTCTATTAGTTATCAACACGGGTAAGGGTATTTAATTGGTGGTGCATAGGGTATTGTATGGTCGTACTACAGGTATTCATTAAACATATATGATCAGGTAGTTTTACCTGTTTTCTGTACACAACAATAATATATTCCAATCTCACATGTGCCCTCGGCAAAACCAACATCCATGATGTACACAAACAGCGTATGAAGTTATATTGCGTAATCACTATATGTCTTTATCAATCCCCCATGTGGAGTAACACTTGAAGTTTGCAACTTCAAACGAGAACTGAAATTGCGAAACTCAATCATCTGTACCGTACACCTGTGACCTATGATGAACTCATGGCATGGCACCCGAGACCCCAACTCTGGAATTCTTATGAAAGTGGGCGAACAGAAGTGTAGTTTGGGCTTGTTAAAAAGTCCCATCTTTACGCCTTCTAAGTCTGCATGTCATTAAAAAACAGAAAATATCATGTGAATATTCCTTTTAATTATATTGTTGAATCCATCGGCATCACACATAATCATTGTTTGTCACTGTCATGCGTTTTGTTGGATAATAATCGAAACTAAATTTGTGCTGTACCCATATGTCAATATGAATGAATGTAACCACTGACGTAGTAGCCTCGTTCTGAGTGACTTCCGGGATGGAAATATGCATATTTGACAGGTCGATAAATCGTTGCATTAAAATCTCAATAAAATACATGTTTTCCTACATAGTTGACACTTATATTGCTATCGATGTATTTTTGGGGAAAGTTAAGTATAAATGAACATTTTGAAACACAAATTGAAAATCGTGTCATGTCTCCTTTAAACATCTCGCCATTGTGTTATTGATCTATTTTAATTTTTGCATACTTTGAACAAAAACATTATCTTATATCTCTACCTGTGTGACGTTTACATTCTGACGTCAAACACGCGGTTCTACGCCAGAGTTAATGTTAAAATTACGATTCGGTCCCATTGCTTAAAATCTCTCGATCCTTTATGGCTTGATTAATACAAAAATAAATAAGCAATGAACGAGGTTGTTAAATGTGATATATGCTTTTTTGTGCTTCTTTGTTAGATATTTGTTTGTTTTTGTTGTGATTAAGATTGTGACCCGATGTTGACTGTTGTAACCCTATTTTGACATTTGTTATGTTTGTTTGTTTTATTCACGCATTGTTGTCAAGATAACCGAATTTGATGTGACTGTCATACAAGTGAGAGATTTAGCACTATAAAACCAGGTTCAATCCACCATTTTCTACATAAGAAAATGCCTGTACCAAGTCAGGAAATATGACAGTTGTTGTCCATTCGTTTGATGTGTTTGTGCTTTTGATTTTGCCAGTTGATTAGGGACTTTCCGTTTTGAATTTCCCTCGGAGTTCAGTATTTTTGTGATTTAACTTTTTATCATGTGGAATCGAACGTTTGACTCATGCCAGTACTCATTAGTAATAGTAATAGTTCGAATTTAAATAGCTGATTCCGATCGTTTTGGTTGACGGTATAAATACTTGAATTACATAACTTTGATGTTATATTTGAGATTGAGGTTATGATTAACGCTGACTAAGATGTAGACATCAGGAGTGAGCTTTGGTGAACGTATTAACGAATAACTGCCGAAAGGAGAAAACTGAAAAAAAGAGGATTATTAATTAAAGGTGGAAATATTTTCTTTGACTTTTTTTAGGAAACATACCGTTTGCGATAAGGACGGTTACAAAATAACAATAATGACAGTAAGTTTTGAAAATGTAATTCGGATCAATGATGCTCAAAAGCCAATATTTGAAATCGAGATAATTCAAGAATGTTATACAAGTTAAATGACCTCTCCACAATCATGCGTTAAAATAAAATGACAATAAAATACAGAAAAAAAGAAAAGAAATAAACAATTACCAAAAGAGGCGACATCCAAGAAATTATATTTCAGAACTTTCTATGTTATTCTCCTTGGAAGTATAACTAAACAATTACAAATATAAATTGTGGTTTAGTGTCATTTTAAACTAATACAACAAAACCAAAAAGTCATCATTTTTACTTTTCAAAACATGACAATAACAAATTAAACAACAAAATACCAGTTATATTCGATGTTTATTCCAAATAACATGCGATAAATAAATAGTTAAAGTCTATTTTGCATGATTGATTCAAGTTTAATGTGAATATTAACGACAATATAATAGTACGTCAAATGAAGATACCTTCTTATATTCACAACGAGGTACATTTATAACATCAATTATTTTCAGCGATAATACGAGGAAAAGGGACTTTTTTTATTGTATTGACATTGTTTGCAGAATCTTAGATACTTTACTTTTACAATTCAAAGAAATAAATGTGTTTATGTGTTTTCTTTTTAAAATAAAATGTTGGTGACGTGTTGTTTTAGCAATACTATACCCTCTTTCGACATATCGTATTAAACTTATTATATCGATATATATCATAGGATTTTCATATATCATTGAGTTATCATAAGAAATTATAAAGATTTGAATGGTAGCTTAAGATAACTGAAAATTTATTACGTTCACTGTTTATTCTCTCTAACAATGTTTGTTTTTACCGTAGTACACTAATGTTATGTATCACCAATCATAATCAGGAGGATTAATTGATAGAGTTGTGTTTGTTTTACACTCATAACACCTATATCATGCTTGTCCAAGCCGAAACAATGTTATCAAGGATTACAACATGTAGATCTGGCAATTGAAATTTTTTTTTTTTTTTTTTTTTTTTTTTGCATTGGTATGGACATTATTGCCTTTTCATACGATTTAGTCTTTCTGATCCAGCTATATCTGTAGAAATCATGATATTCATACAGAATTGAGAAATTTAAGATATCAAACAACTAAAGCTCAAATATGATATCCCATGGATAGTCTTAATGTAAATTGAATTCATACTTTTAGAAATTCGGAGCAATGTAGCGTTTTTGCATTTTGTGTATAAACATGTCGTTTAGGAAGAGGGGCGAAAGATATTAAAAGGACATTCATACTCATAAATTGTAAATAAACTGACAACGTCATGGCATAAATATCAAGACCAACAAACAAACAACAGTACACAAACAGAACATAGAAATCTAAAGACTGAATCCTACCAAACATTTGGGGTTTTGGTGCTTCGAACGAGTTAGCAGATCCTGCGACTTATGTGGCAGTTATCGTGTTGCTCATTTTAGTACAAACCCGGTGATCAGTTTTAATCAGTATGTCACATCGGCGAAAATCGGACGGGATTGTAATGACGACACCTGGAATATATCCATCGTCACCTGTGAAACAGATATTCCATAAACGGTCAACAGATTTGTGATGGCGTCCGTACCATTTATGAAGGAATATTTTCAACTTCAACAAATTGAACTCTTTATTTAAAAGCTGCCTCGTAAGCAGCAACTATCTATCAAAAAAATCATGGTAGGAATTGTAACCCCGGAATAGCGTATCAACTGAGAGATATATACTCAATATGCAGGTGCTGCTCGTGATGTTGGTTTACCTCTACATGCTTGAAATGTCTACCTGTAAGTATTCCAAGTGAAATAGTGATCTGTTTAAATAAGTTAAAATCTAGTTGTCTGGTTATCTGGTTATTTGTTTGCAATAGAATACAGTATCTAACTAATGAGCGTTTGTCTTTCCTGATGAATGAAAATCAAGAAAACCGGTTCAAAAGTATGAAATTTATAGAATAATATATTCAAATGATGTATGAGTCGGACCACGATATGGAACGAAATTTTATAAAAATATACATGCGTTGAACTGGTGTTATAAAATAAATGAGATGGTTGATCAGAGAAAAATGTGTGTTAATCCGTCTTTACGAAATAATCATCGATGCTTTCTTCTATAAAAATGGACCCGTATTGGAGTGAATTCTGCATATTTTTTTAAAAACAAGGATGAAAATGAAACATGCCTCACCGTAGAACAATTGAGCAGTATGCTGGCGTTTCTCATTGACAACATATTTATTGAATTTAAAGTTAGTGTTTTTCAGCAGGTTGTTGTCATACTTATTAAAAACAACGGTGTACCCATCTTTGCCGACCTTGTTCCTAAGTCATGTGAGTCGGAGTTTCTTCAGACAGTTGTAAAACACAAGAACATCAAACAAGCTAGATCGTTTAATTTTGCATACAGGTATATTGATAAACTGTTCATTAACAAACGAAATTCTTCTGATTTGGTCACATTAATATATCCACCTGAACTAGAGATTTAAGATACCATAGAGCTTCATCCTTCTCATTCCAACTTATGAGTTTGTATGTCCCTTCGGTATCCTTCGCCTCCCTTTTTCTAAACATGTACATCAATCTCGAATTTGATAACAGTCGATTGTGTATTATCAAACAACTTCTGTAATCAGTGTAAGTGCAAACTAATAAAACATGTACAGCCATGTTCTTTAGTATACTTAAGGTATCACTTTAATGACGAACTGTTTATATTGCTTTTTTTTGGGAATCGAATCAAGGATGTTTAAAAAAAAAGTTAACACTTAAGACTGTTTCGTTTTTTATGATCACGTTTCATTAGACAACTACAGACAAGTGAGTAATCAACTAAATGAGAAAGAAACAGAAACATTTCAACCGGAGAACAAATAAGGCACTCATGATGTAAGTGAAGTTTGAAAAATGTGAATATGCAAACTACATTTTATTGAAGAAAATGCGTTATACTGTTATCTTCATTTGGTACCCTACAAAAGAATAAAAATAGCATTAATGATTCAACAGTATTCTTATTACAGGGTGTTTAAATTGTGCACTAGTAAACAACGGAGTCAAGAATTTCGATAATGATTATTTTATAGTGTGTGCGCAAGGCATATGTTGGTAACATAATTAGAAGACAAACATAATCAGAACAAATTTCGGCAAAATATGCTTATTTGTTATTAACAGACAAGTTGTCTCAACTTCATTTTACGTGAGGAGGATGCAGTTTAGATTTCTGTAAAAAAATGAATTATTTTACTAAACCTTTGCAAACAAAAAATAAACAATGTTTTGTCGTTTTAAACACACATCTACTATTTGTCATTTGACGTTATACAAACAACAACGAATCAATCATACAATTTCAGTCATAACTTGTTACATATTCTGAACCATTTTTTAAAGCAACGAAGCAATGTGCTCTTCAAACTGTTCTGTGTTGTTTAAGATACTTTATTACCTTTTCTCTTATATTTTCATATACATTACAGAAATACGTGTATTCGTTTATTCAGGGTAAAGCTGCAATATCATTTGTTTTATCCAGGTGAAATGACATTTTCGATACACACATGTCTTTTGCAAAAGTCAGTATGTTGACGTCCTGTTAGTTAAGGTTAATATGAAAGTCGATGAATACTATCTTATTGGTGTACTCCTAGTGTGTCTTTATTTACAGTTACAGATAAACAACAACATATCATCAAATAATAATATTAATGACATTTCTTTTCTTTTATGTAGAAGAATTTTGGATCTGTGGCACAGATAATAGAAACAAGTTATGCGTACAATTAGAATAGGACATACCTTTCTCGCTTAATAATATGACTTTTTTCCTCCGCCTATTCCACCACCTAATCCTCCGCCTATTCCACCACCTAATCCTCCGCCTATACCACCACCAATTAAAACACCTGCTCCACCACCTACTCCTCCGCCTATTCCACCACCTAATCCTCCGCCTATACCACCACCTATTAAAACACCTGCTCCACCACCTACTCCTCCGCCTATTCCACCAACTATTCCACTACCATATCCACCACCATATCCGTAGCTACGGTTGATTACCCACCATGGGTACCGTTGACAACAGGTATTCCATTGAAATGGGAACAATGGTGTTAGTCTGCATTTTTTGTCCAAAGTAAGCTCCCACTTACGGCAAAGTTTAGGACGACAGGTACAACACCAACGACCAGCTGTTATGTAACATATGAAATATATCGTATATTAATGTTAAGCTCTTTAATGTTTTCATTAGTAAAACTGTTATGTAGCTATTAGATAGCAGGAGTGTAATCTATGAGCTTACGGTACTTTTTAAACGCACCTCATTTATCTTTGTTCACTTTATTTCCTAATATGGAAAAAAAAATATTCGTTGATTGACTATTTAAATTGAAAGTTTAAATTGTATCGCTAGGGATTTACTGCCGCTACCGTAATCTTGAAGATTATTGATTATGTGTTTCTCAGACAACAATAATCGTGTTCCCGTTGTAATAGCCAAAATTAAGTATTAGTTTTTAACGTCCTCGATTAGGTCTCATCCCGCATTTTAGTAACTTAAGTTTTATTCGTTTTTAAGTATCGTATGTTCTCTTAATTTTATGGTATGGTAAATAAAACACTAGTTAGGCATCCTGTATATGGTCAGACAATAACACGTAACAATTTCAAATTAACGTTGTAAATTGCATATTTATTCGTTCTATTGTAAGTTCAGAAATTGCTGCGTTACTTTCTATACTGTATCTATTTTAAAGAATGGACACAAATGCAAGACTAATTACTGCGGTTTCAGTTAATGGTGCATGTAGCTAATGCTATAACATTTTAAAAGGTGACTCTTCTTTTTGCGACTCATTTCCGTTGCAACATTTGCAATGATAAAAACATCGCAAACATTTGTATATTTCCAGTATTTGATTGCTGAACCAAAATGGTATAGTCTTTCGTGATTTTAGCTATGTTAAGTCATTAACAGTGTGTTAATTTCAATAACAATATGTCAATTTGACAACAAAAACGTAGCAAAGCAATTACTAGGCTTCATTACATAGTTTCAAACATATTGTTTAGTGGTTTGGTGTACCGTTAATCTGATTAGACGAACAGGAAAGCATACAACACAATTAGTAAGACAGATGTACCAAATAATTAGATTTAAAACTATATTCAAAACAGGTAACACTAACTTTTGTGACCAATAACATGGAAAATATACATTTAGTTTAAACGATTAATACAATTATCTCGTATATTTCTTTTTCTTAAACATATATATTTTGATAACATATTGGTAGTTGTATAATAAATTTAGATTAAGAACAAAATAACGCATTACATATTATAGGTGTTAAATATGAACAAAAATACATTGAATTGATAAGGGTGTCCTAATCGTTGTTGGTGAAATCTTAATGCAATTAAACTTCTGGTTGAGACCGAATTGATAGAAAAATAGGGAGATGTGGTTTGGTTGTCAATGAGACAACAATCTACCAAAGTTTTTCTGATGTTTTCCTTCATCAGGAACACATATTTAGGAATATATGAACATGATGAAAGCCAACGATGTATACGAACCGAACTAGTTGATGAGATATATCCCCCAAAAAGGACTTAAAAAAAATGACCAAATACATTTTCGTTCAACTAATCTTGATAGATTTATTAACTTAGTTTCTTAATGATTGTCACTAAAGAGATAAATATTAACATGTTCTTACGTCCTCCGACCAAACCTCCATATCCGACGCCACCTCCGATTAAACCACCAACACCTCCACCTACAACAATGCCTGCTCCTCCGCCTCCACCTCCACCTCCTCCGGCTCCCCCTAAAGTAACTACTCCTCCTCCAATTCCGCCTATACCCCCGCCATAGCCACCACTATAACCGCCACTATAACCGTTAGCTCCGTAGACAGTTCCAACAACGGCTACCAACAGTAATGTTAAAACTTCCATGGTTGCTTACTTTGGATTAATTCCACCTGTAATAATAAACCTTTGATCAGTTTTATTTATACCATCACTATTTTGAAAAAAAACAACTATTAACAGTAAAATAGCATTGATATATGATGAATAATTATGTTTTTTATTTGTTTTTTTTTGTGGTTTTAAATTTGATGATTACAGCAAAAATATGACAGAATAGTAATGTGTTGCCGAAACTAAAAAGATGTTTCTCGCTTTTTTATGATGCACTATACGATTTTTTATATGCAATTGTATTCTAATAATCATAAACTACGCATAGCGTAAGATTTAAATCGACCAAACCAGAAAGTAGCAGAGTATTTTTGACAGAAAAGAGTTAACTATAACAACATTTGATAAATTTCATTCTTATCTTTTTCAAAGGAAATGTTGATTTAGATTTCAATAGAATAACAGATATGTAAGGCCCAAAGGAAAGGATAAGAAATTGATACGCAAAATGATCGCTGTCAGGGCTTTTTTAACGTTAACTGTTTAGCTATATTAATGAAATTGTAATCAAAAATTGTTTTTGTGGACAAATGGTAAAATGCTACTGACTTTTCGTGTGAGATATATTGGGATGTTGATTTAATTTTTTTACAGTAACAACAATATATAGTTGTGATTAAATAACAGTTAATGTCGTTTGTATTATGCGAACATGGACGTATTTAACGTTTCAATTGATACATTTAAATGCAAAATATCGAACCGTATGTGTTAGTTAAACTCTACAAATTTGATGTTTACAATGAGGAAATTGTAATCCTTTTTTTTGGGGGGGGTTGTATGATTAGTTGATAGGATTAACAAAGGATATAGCAATAAGATAATGCCAAAGAAGTCTTTAGGACATTTACAATGATACTTGATTAGAATTACACTTTGTCGATGGTTTACTATGTTTGAATTATCATAATTTCTTTATATTAAATCATTAAGAAAATCGATGGTATATTTTTCCCATCAGTACATATATGGCATAAAGTAGATGAAACATATTGTAAAACTGTAAACTGTCAATCCTCCTCTAAATATTTTGTATCTGGGTTTATCTATAGGACTAGTAAAACAGAGGCTAACTATACCAATTGAACATTCAAACGCAAATGTTCAAAATAAACTGACAACGCTATTGCAATAAAAAACCGACAAAAAAGTCTGTGTTTTTGTAAGATGTTTTTTTTTTCTGCTTTGTATCGATCTAATGAGTAAAACCCTTTTCAAATTTTGTTATAGTTTGTTCTGATGTTGAACTATAACACCAATTTCCCAGGATTTCGCAGATTGTTAGGCGCCAACAAACTTTTTCAACACTGCCATATTCTGTTCACAATACTACAACCTTCAGTGAGCAAATGATAGCATTGTTACCTTATTTCACCTCTTTCTTTCACAATTTGTTTATGCTTTAAAAATTTCGAGATATCAAAACCATTTTGATGACATTAATAATAAATATTGACTTTTTTCATATTTACAGTCCAAGTCCCCATCTTTATTTACTATTGCCATGTCTAACCCTTGATCTCAGATACACTTTTTTTCATGTGGCATATTCTACTGTATACATGTACTTGTTGAAACGATATGATCTGTAAGTTACTCAGTAAAAGTTTGCATTTTTTTTTATCTTTTTTCATTAACATATTGCATATGCTATTTTAAGATTTTGCAGATTTTACTTTTGATCAGTTTGTTCTTATACAATAAAGAAAAAGTTGAATTATCTGGATTGGACTCAAAAAAAGATATCGTCTAAAACCTGCATTATAAAAAAAGTTTAACTGCTTATACTTTATGATTTTTTTTAAATAACAAAGTTCTTTAAGTTAGAAAAAAGTCCCAGTTTGCTTTCATTATTTCTCAAGTCATAGATGGCCTGGTCGGTTTTTGATATTTGTCAACAATGTATTTGATTTAGTCTTGCTTAAATCTTGAACCAATGTTACATATTATGTCTGATATCTGGCCTTGTGGTCGTACATTCGATCGTGATTATCGTACACAGACACAAAAATTACATAACACAATAATGGAATTTTCGTTTCAAGAACACACTTTGTACTCCGAGTAGTGGAGAAAGCTTTGTGACCGTGAACCCTGTTTAATTATTTGATGGGGTTCTTTTTGCTCAGTCTTTTGTTTTCTATGTTACGTTTTATATCTTTTTCTTGTTCTTTGTGTTTTTTTTTTTTTCTTCTACTCTGCTTTGTATCGTTGATAATATTTCCATACGATTGATTAATCACACATATGTATTTGAATCGTGTATGAGATTGAAGATTTATTTGTAATTGTCCGCCTGTTTGATCGGCGAACTAGAATATAACACTTAACTTTGTATCCTTGATTATATTTCCATACGATTGATTAATCACACATATGTATTTGAATCGTGTATTCGTGTGATTTGGTTTTTTTTTCTTACAAATACAAGATTGTAACATTAATATACATATTTAGCATATTATCTGACCACAAAAACCATACCGTAAGCATTGTGTGTAATGCCTAATAGCACTAAGACACAATAACTAACGGTATTCGTTTTAATAGTTTGTACATCAAAGATGCAAGTGACGTTAAAAAAATGTCTTTTATAATATAGTGTGTTCACAAAGGTAGATCAAACAGATAGTTTGATAGGACATTTGGTTAAGGTTTTATGGCGCCTACAATGAAAGAGAAAGTAGATATTAAGAGGGCATTTAAGAAAACACAAGTTAAATAATCAACGACAAAAATATAAACGGCGGACGGTAAAAAAAACATCTCATAAAACTAAATTGATTAACACGAACCCATGAACAAGTGTTGGTGTATTTAATTGTCGTGGAGGATAATCTGTTCCCGTTTATCATGTGAAATCGAACTTTTGACGCATGCCAGTAATCATTGGTAATAGTAGTAGTTCGAATTTAAATAGCTGATTCCGATCGTTTCGGTTGACGGTATAATTACTTAAATTACATAACTTTGATGTTATATTTGAGATTGAGGTTATGATTAACGGTTTCGCTGACTAAGTTGTAGACATCAGGAGTTAGCTTTGGTGAACGTATTAACAAATAATTGGCGACAAGAGACAACTGAAAAAAAGGGGATTATTAAATAAAGGTGGACATATTTTTTCTTCGATTTTATTTTAGGAACATACTGATTGCAATAAGGACGGTTAAATCATAACTGTAATGACAATAAGTTTTGAAAATGTAATTCGTATCAATGATGCTCAAAAGCAAATGTTTGAAATCAAAATAATTCAAGAATGTTATACCAGTCAAATAACCTCTCCGCAATCATGCGTTAAATATTAAAATGACAATAAAATACAGAAAAAAAGAAAAAGAAAAAAAAAAAAACAATTACCAAAAGAGGCGACGTCCAACAAATTATATTTCAGCACTATGTTGTTCACCTTGAGAGTATTACTAAACAAGAACAATATATCTCCTTTAAACATAAACTGTGGTTTAGTGTCATTTTAAAATAATACCACAAAACCAAAAAGTCATCATTTTTACTTTTCAAAACATGATGACAACAACAAATTAAACAACAAAATACCAGTTATATTCGATGTTTATTCCAAATAACATGTGATAAATAAATAGTTAAAGTCTATATTGCATGATTGCTACAATAATAATGTAAACATTAACGACAATACAATAGTATGTCAAATGAAGATACCTTCTTATATTTAGAGCGAGTTACATTTATTACATCAATTATTTTTGCGATTATAAAGGAATAGGGAATTTTTTATTGTATTGACATTGTTTGCAGAATCTTAGATACTTTACTTTTGCAATTCAAAGAAATAAATGTGTGTATGTGTTTTCTTATTTGAATAAAATGTTGGTGACTTGTTTTTTAGCAATACTATACCCTCTTTCGACATATCATATTAAACTTTTTTCATCGATATATATCATAGGATTTTCATATATCATTGATTTATCATAAGAAATTATAAAGATTTGATTGGTAGAACAAGATAACTGCAAAATTGTAACGTTCACTGTTTATTCTCTCTGAGATTGTTTGTTTTTACCGTAGTACACTAATGTTATGTATCACCAATCATAATCAGGAGGATTAATTGATAGATTTGTGTTTGTTTTACACTCACAACACCTATAACATGCTTGTCCAAGCTTAATCATTTTAACGAGGATTACAACATGTAGATCCGGCAATAAGAGTGTTTTTTTTTTTCTTTCTTTCTTTTATTGTTGTTGCATTGGTATAGGCACTATGGACTTTGCATACGATCTAGTCTTTCTGATCCCGCTATATCTGTATGGAATATAATCAGAAGAAATCATCCCACTTTAAAATGTAGGACGAAGACTTTTAAGTATTGAATTACTGCTGATCGTCTTTTGTTGTTCTTTTTCATGTATTTTGCAGATCTATTTATTATATTTCTCTAGACTTAACATTTAGAATATTTCGTGAGCTATTTCGTATTCATATAGAATTGAGAAATGTAAGATATCAAACAACCAAAGCTCAAATCTGATATCTCATTGATAGTCTAAATATAAATTGAATTCATACTTTTATAAATTCGGAGCAATGTAGCGTTTTTGCATTTTGTGTATAAACATGTCGTTTAGAAAGAGAGGCGAAAGATATAAAAAGGACATGCATACTCATAAATCGTAAATCAACTGAGAACGGCATGGCATAAATATAAAGACCAACAAACAAACAAAAATACACAAAACAGAACATAGAAAACTAAAGACTGAATCCTACCAAACATTTGGGGTAATCCCAGGTGCTTCGGACGAGTTGGCAGATCCTGCGACTTATGTGGCAGCTGTCGTGTTGCTCATGTTATTACAAACCCGGTGATCAGTCTTAATCAGTATGTCACATCGGCGAAAATCGGACAGGATTGTGATGACGACACCTGGAACATATCCGTCGTCACCTGTGAAACAGATATTCCATAAACGGTCAACAAATTCCGGAAAAGCGTATCAACTAGGAGATATATACTCCATATGCAGGTGTTGCTAGTGATGTTGGTTTACCTCTACATGCTTTAAATGTCTACCTGTAAGTATTCCATGTGAAATAGTGATCTTTTTAAATAAGTTAAAATCTAGTTGTCTGGTTATTTGTTTACAGTATCTAACTAATGATCTTTTGTCTTTCCTGATGAATGGAAATCCAGACAACCGGTTCAAAAGCATAAAATTTATAGAATAATATATTTAAAGGATGTATGAGTCGGACCACGATATGGAACGAAATTTTGTAAAAATATACATGCGTTGAACTGTTGTTATAAAATGAATGAGATGATTGATCAGAAAATGTGTGTTAAACCTTTTTTACAAAATAATCATCGATGCTTTCTTCCATAAAAATGAGCCCATGTTGGAGTGGATTCTGCATGTTTGTTTTAAACGAGGATGAAAATAAAACATGCTTCACCATAGAACAATTGAGCAGTTTGCTGGAGTTTCTCATTGACAACATATTTTTTTGAATTTAAAGGTAGAGTTTTCCAGCAGGTTGTTGACCTACCTATTGAAACCAACGGTGAACATACCTTGGTCGACCTTGTTCCTAAGTCATATGAGTCATAGTTCCTTCAGACACTTGTAAAACACAAGAAAATCAAAGAAGCTAGATAATTTAATTTTGCATACAGGTATTTTGATTATCTGTTCATTAACAAACCAAATTCTTCTGATCTGGTCACAATAATATATTCTCCTGAACTAGAGATTAAAGATACCATAGAGCTTCATCCGTCTCATTTCAACTTATAAGTTTGTATGTCCCTTTGTTATCCTTCGTCTCTTTTTTTCTAAACTATATCGAATTTGACAACAGTCATCTTAGTACAAGAATATATGACATACAAGACGATTTTAATTTTTTGAGATTTTCCTCACCTTAGCAGTGATAAACTTGCATATGGAGTCGAAATTTTTCAACTCATACCATATTAAAGAGCTTGTTCAATGTAGCTATACTCAGAAAACGATAAAAAAAGTAATGAATCAGGATTTTGTCAAAGAACGTCTCGTCCTTTTTGTTCAAAACGGTCATCGAAAAGTTTTTTGACCTAATAGATAATTATTCAATTTCTACTTTACAAATGATACACGATAGTCTTGAGTTTTAGATTGTATCTGTTGAAGTCGTGTACCAATTTTTTTCACTTTACAGTTTTCTTTTATTTTGAAATCCTCCTATTATGTTTCTTTTGATCATACGCATTTTGAGGTGACTGGGTACTCATGCATCCCGCTTTTTTTTTATTCTAGCTGTTCCTGTTTCACAAGGGTAATGAAGCGTGGATGCAAGAGTCTTTTACAATGCTGTTTTTATTTATTTTTTTACCATTGAAATTTAATTTTACATAATATGTCTTTGATCGGGAATGTGATTACTCAAAACGGAATATACTGAAGAGTTTGTATCTGCTTCTGTGTCAATTTGTAAGACCTAAACAACTTGTTGGCGTCTTTGTCAAATTCACTAACAACTTCAACAAGTTAGATTCATTTATATGTTTGTTTTAGTCAGTTGTGTTCTACACACGAAATGCTGACATTATTAGTTACATAGTGTGCTAGTGACCTAATACGGTATATGGAATTTACTGACCCCATATATACCGTATTACGTCACTAGCACACTATGTAACGAATTTATCTTACCGACTATCTTAACGTGTGAAATTTAGACTAGTGACCTATCAAAATGAGCAAGTCTTCAATACCGTTAGCATTAAGAAACTACTTCCATTAATCCTACAAAAACAGATGCCAACAATAACAACTTGTTCGGTTTAAATGTGTTTTATGAATTTATTTCAAACTTAATCATCAATTTCTTCGTCTGTTGAAACCTTTAAGATTTTTTCTCAGTACCGTTTTGTTTTTAAAAAGGGACGTAACACCACTACTAACCGTGTATGAAATAAGCTCCGCCTCCCTACTAACCTAATATGGAATATACACGGTCTCCACGCGGACGCTTTTAACCAATCATACTCCTAGAAATGTACAGGAGGTAAGATAAGTATGTATACAGAGTTTTGGGCTGCTAGATCCCAATGATTGTAACATTATCTTTTTACGCCTGTTAAGATTGCTCACCCGGTTTTGTCAATATAACAGAACTATAAACAACTGTCATACAGGTGGGATGTATAGCGAGCTATATAACCCGGTTCAAGGCACCACTTTCTTCGGAATTTGATTGTACTTGTTAAAGAATACGACAGTTGTTTTTCAATCATTCCTTTGGTTGATAACGATTTGATTTTATTAGTTTTTGTGGACTTCCCACTTTTTGAATTAAGCTTGGAGTTTTTTGTTATACTTTTTAAATAAAACTTCTTTCTGTATTACAATGGCCATAGTACATATCTGTGAAACGATCGACAGGTATAACCAAAGCGATTTTGTCTTCTACTTCAATTGATTATAGATCATGATTATTGTTTCTGCAAGAATATAACCATAGTTAACTGGATAGCTGCAGTCGGTATAGAAGTATCACTGATTTTCATTCTTTGTACTTAAACGTGATCAAATGCTCAAACCATTATAAATATGAAGGCCTCACTGAGACTTTGAAATGGAGAACAGCAATACAGGCTCTGTTCCTTTGCTTTCTGTGTGTGTTTTTTGCTGTGCATGAACTGATTTTTTGTCATGGATGGATACCCTATATCCTTTGTTTTTCCATTATAAAGGTTTTTTTCTACCCCAGTATCTATCCTTTCCAAGAGTTGAAACGCTTTTATTCGTTTAATTAGTTTGCATTATAACCGGACTTATTTGAAAGTCCGATATAGTTACAATATAAAAGGGAATTTTGGTACCTTAGAATGTGTGTGTACAGTTAATACGTGTATGCTGTAGAAAAGGGCAACATATAGCAAAAGGATATGCCAACTCATCAGTAGACAACATACTGACAATGCCCTAGCCAAAACACAAAACATATAATAAAGAAGATGTGGTATGATTGTCAATGAGACAACTCTCCACAAGAGACCAAATGACACCGAAACTAACAACTATAGGTCACCGTACGGCCTTCAACAATGAGCAAAGCCCAAACCGCACAGTCAGCTATAAATGGCCCCGAAGTGACAATGTAAAACAATTCAAATAACTAACTAACGGCCCAATTCATGTACAAAAAAAAAGAAGGAAAAACAAATATGTAACACATAAACAAACGACAACCACTGAATTACAGGCTCCTGACTTGGGACAGGCACAAACATACAGAATGTGGCGGGGTTTAACATGTTAGCGGGATCCCAACCCTCCTCCTAACCTGGGACAGTGGTGAAACAGTACAACATAAGAACGAACTATACAAATCAGTTGAAAGAGGCTTAACTCATTAGATGGATACAAATACAAATACTACAAATACAAGTGGACGTGGACGGGTACTTGTACATCCAAACAACAAAAAGACACTAAGTACAGATCTGAGAGTACTCGCAGTTACTGACAGCTAGTTCAAAGCCATTAACAACTAATACAAAAAAGATTGTCGTTTTCTACGTTGCTTTTTGTAAGTTTTTTGTTACTTTTGGCGACTTCTTTTTTCTTTCTTTCTTTCGTCCATGATGCTTATGCGCGCCATGAACAAGACACTCTATTGAATCTATTCGATTGTGTTTTATCAAACAAATTCTGTAATCAGTATTAGTACAAAATTTTAAAACATATACAGCTATGTAAGGTATCACGTTATTGACAAACAGCTTATATTGCCTTCATTGGGAATCGAATCACGAATATTTGAAAAAAATAAGTGAACACTTAAGACTGTATCGGTCATTATGATCAAGTTTCAATTGACAACTACAGACAAATGAGTGATCAACGAAATGAGAAAGAAACAGAAACATTTCAACCGGAGAACAAATAAGGGACTCATGATGTAAGTGAAGTTTGAAAAATGTGAATATGCAAACTACATTTTATTGAAGAAAATGCGTTATACTGTTATCTTCGTTTGGTAACCTACAAAAGAATAAAAATAGCATAAATGATTCAACAGTATTCTTATTACAGGGTGTTTAAATTGTGCACTAGTAAACAAATGAGTCAAGAAGTTTGATAATGATTTTTGTATAGTTTGTGCGCAAGGCATATGTTGGTAACATAATTAGAGAACAAACATAGTCAGAACATATTTCGCCAAAATATGCTTATTTGTAATTAACAGACAAGTTGTCTCAACGTAATTAAATTTCTGTAAAATGAATAATTTTACTAAACATTTGCAAACAAAAAAAAACAATTTGTCGTCGTTTCAAACATGCATGTACTATCTGTCATTTGACGTTATACAAACAACAACGAATACAATTTCAATCCTCACTTGTTACATATTCTGAACCATTTTTGACAGCAACAAAGAATTGTGCTCTCCAAACTGTTCTCTGTTGTTTAAGATACATTACTACCTTTTCCTTTATATTTTCAAATACATTACAGAAATACGTCCATTCGTTTATTCAGGATAAAGCTACAATATCATTTGTTTTATCCAGGTGCAATGACATTTTCGATACACACATGTATTTTGCAAAAGTCAGTATGTTGACGTCCTGATAATTAAGGTTAATATGAAAGTCGATGAATACTATCTTATTGGTGTACTCCTAGTGTGTCTTTGTTTAAAGTTACAGATACACAACAAAGTATCATCAAATAATAATAATAAGTGACATTTCTTTTCTTTTATGTAGAAGAATTTTGGATCTGTGGCGCAGACACTAGAAACAACTTATACGTACAATTAGAATAGGACATACCTTTCTCGCTTAATAATATGACTTTTTTCCTCCGCCTATTCCACCACCTAATCCTCCGCCTATTCCACCACCTAATCCTCCGCTTATACCACCACCAATTAAAACACCTGCTCCACCACCTACTCCTCCGCCTATTCCACCACCTAGTCCACTACCATATCCACCTCCATATCCGTAGCTACGGCTGGTTACCCACCATGGGAACCATTGACAACAGGTATCCCATTGAAATGGGAACAATGGTGTTAGTCTGCATTTTTTGTCCAAAGTAAGCTCCCATTTACGGCAACCTTTAGGACGGCAGGTACACCACCAACGACCAGCTGTTATGTAACATATAAATGATAGTATATATTAATGTTAAGCCCTTAAACGTTTGTATTAGTAAAGCTGTCATGTAGCTGATAGATAGCAGTGTCTTCTATGAGCTTCGAACGGTACGTGTGAACGCATTTCACTGATCTTTGTTCACTTTAATATGGAAAAATAATTTTCGCTGATTGTTTATTTAAATTGAAAGTTTAAATTGTATCGCCAGGGATTTACTGCCGCTACCGTAATCTTGAAGACAACAATAATTATGTTTCCGTTGTAATAGCCACAGTTAAGTATTAGTTTTTTACGTCCTCGATTAGGTCTCACCACTGCATTTTAGTAACTTAAGTTTTATTCGTTTTTAAGTATCGTATGTTCTCTTATTTTAATGATATGTTAAATAAAACACTAGTTAGGCATCCTGTATATGTTCAGACAATAACACGTAACAATTTCAAATTAACGTTTTAAATTGCAAATGTATTTGTTCTAATGTATTTTCAGAAATTACTGCGTTACTTTCTATACTCTATCTATTTTAAAGAATGGACACAACTGCGAGATTAATTATTGCGATCTCAGTTAATGGTGCATGTAAATAATGCTTTATGATTTTAAAATGTGACTCTTTTTTTTTGCGACTCATTTCCATTGCAATATTTGTAATGATAAAAACATCGCAAACATTTGTATATTTCCAGTATTTGATTGCTTAACCAAAATGTTTTATTTCTTTTATGATTTTAGCTATGTTAAATCATTATCAGTGTGTTAATTTCAATAAAAATATGTCAATTTGACAAAATGAACGTAGCAAAGCAATTACTAGGCTTCATTGAACAGTTTCAAACATATTGTTTAGTGGTTTGGTGTACCGTTAATCTGATTCGACGAACAGGAAATCATACAAAATAAGTAAGACAGATGTACCAAATAGTTCGATTTAAAACTATATTCAAATAGGAAACACTAACTCTTGTGATCAATAACATAAAAAATATACATTTAGTTTAAACGATTAATAAAATTATCTCGTATGTTTCTTTTTCTAAAACATATATATTTTGATAAAATATTAGTAGTTGTATAATAAATTTAGATTAAGAACAAAATAACGCGTTACATATTATAGGTGTTAAATTTGAACAAAAATACATTGAATTGATAAGGATATCCAAATCGTTGTTAATGAAATCTTAATGCAATTGTTACTTCTGGTTGAGAACAAATAGGGGGATGTGATATGATTGTCAATGAGACAAAAATCCACCAAAGTTCAAATTGAAGTGGATGTAAGTTATTAAAGGCAACAGTACGGTCAATAATGAGAGAAAAAAACCGTATACTCGGCTATAAATGGCCTTAACATAAAATATGAAACAATTAAATTGAAAAAAAACGGCCTTTTCATAACAAAACATTCAAAGTTCGATCAATATAATTGTAATATATTGATGTCCGTTGCACACTGCATGGCCGAAAAAATATGAATAAAATTCTTGGTTGATGCTTTATATAAGCATAAAAACGAAACAATATATTTTAAACGTGATGCGTTCAAATCACTTTTCTGATGTTTTCCTTCATCAGGAACACATATTTAGGAATATATGAACATGATGAAAGCCAACGATGTATACGAACCGAACTTGTTGATGAGATATATCCCCCAAAAAGGATACTCGGCTATAAATGGCCTTAACATGAAAATATGAAACAATCAAATTGAGAAAAACGGCCTTTTCATAACAAAACATTCAAATATCGATCAATATATTTGTACGATATCCGTTGCACACTGCATGACATTTTTTAGCCGAAAACATATGAATAAAATGCGTTCGAATCACTTTTCTGATGTTTTTCTCCATCAGAAACACATATTTAGGAATATTTGAAAGCCAACGATGTATACGAACCGAAATAGTTGATGAGATATACCCCCAAAAAAGACTTCAAAAAATGGCCTAATACATTTTCGTTCAACTAATTTTGATAGATTTATTACCTTAGTTTCTTAATAATTGTCACTAAAGAGACAAATATCAACATGTACTTACGTCCTCTGACCAAACCGTTATATCCAACGCCACCTCCAATTAAACCACCAACGCCTCCACCTACAACAACACCTGCTCCTCCACCTCCGCCTCCTCCGCCGCTCCCTAAAGTAACTACTCCTCCTCCAATTCCGCCTATACCCCCGCCATAGCCACCACCATAACCGCCATCAAAACCGGTACGTCCGTAGACAGTTCCAACAACGGCTACCAACAGTAATGTTAAAACTCCCATGGTTGCTTACTTTGGATTCTACCTGCAATAATAAGCCTTTGATCAGCTTTATTTATACCATCACTATTTTGAAAAAAATAATCATAAACAGTAAAAAAGCATTGATAGATGATGAATAATTATGTTTTTTATTTGGGTTTTTTTGTTTTTTTTTGTGGTTTTAAATTTGATGATTACAGCAAAAATATGACAGAATAGTAATGTATTGGCGAAACCAAAAAGATGTTTCTCGATTTTTTATGATGCACTATCCGATTCATTATATGCAATTGTATTCCAATAAGCATAAATCACGAATAGCGTGCGATTTAAACAAACCAAACCAGAAGGTAGCAGAGTGTTTTTGACAGAGAAAAGTCAACTATAACAACATTTGATCCATTTCATTCTTTTTTTTTTAAAAGGAAATGTTAATTTGGATTTCAATAGAATAACATATATGTAAGGCCCAAAGGAAAGGATAAGAAATTGATACGCAAAGTGCACGCTTTCCGGGCTTTTCTAACGTCAATTGTTTAGCTATATTAGAGAAATTGTAATCATATTTTTTTTTTTTTTTTTGGGACAAATGGTAAAATACTACTGCCTTTGGTGTGAGATATATTGGGATGTTGATTAAATATTTTATTACAGTAACAAAAATATATAGTTGTGATAAAATAACAGTTAATGTCGTTTGTATTATCCGAACATGAACGTATTTAACGTTTCAATTGATACATTTAAATGCAAAATATCGAACCGTATGTGTTAGTTAAACTCTACAAATTTGATGTTTACAATGGGGAAATTGTAATCCTATTTTGTTTGGTTGTATGATTAGTTGATAGGATTAACACAGGATATAGCAATAAGATAATGCCAAAGGAGTCTTTAGGACATTAACAATGATACTAGATCAGAATTACACTTTGTCGATGGTTTAGTATACTTGAATTATCATAATCTCTTTAAATTAAATCATTTAGAAAACCGATGGTATTGTGTTCCCATCAGTATATATATGGCATAAACCAGATGAAACATATTGTAAAACTGTATACTGTCAATCCTCCTCTAAATATTTTGTATCTGGGTTTTTTCCTTTTTGTTTTAAATCGATTGCTTCCGATGCGTTTCATGTAGACTACACCTGTTTTGAGAGTTTTAAATCATAAACTGACAATCTGATAAGAGGCTACAGCAGCTTGCCAATGATCTGTTCTCGTACTTTCGGACAAGAAGCAAATCTAGTGTATGGTGTTATGACATGCTATTATGACAAATGTGAAATAAAATTCATATTTTTTAAAATAATATTTTGAAAAACTTTCTACGTCAATTGTCTTGTGTTTATTTAATTGTTTTTATGTAATAATTTTGAATATTCATATATATCTAAGAATGACAGATCAAAACAATGACTCTTCACGTTTGTTTTTAAAAATCAAAGAAAACATATGTAGGATACATAAGTCGTTTCTCACTGTTCCAAGGAAAGCATTTTGTTTCATTTATATGTCTGTACTTACAAGCAGTAACAACAGTCACCATCTAGCTTTACACTGTAAAACCCTTTTTTTTTTCTTTTTTTTTTCAAATACCTTAATTCGTTTTCAGTTTACCAATTGGATTGCTTTCGAGGGAATTAATGATGTCACCTACCAGTAAAAATAGAACTAACTTTGATAATATTTACACATCACAGCACTGTAGTACAATATGCATTAATGTATATATTAAGACCTAATGATATAGACTATAAAAAAGTACAAATGAGACATAAACATGATAAAAAAGAGGAGAAAATACAACGAGACGGTAATAAAATAAGAAGGGAAACAACAACAGGCAAAACCTTTACCTTTAAAGGAAAGTGATGAAAAGATAAACAAAAGTTTTAATATATTACACAATTTCACAATCAAACTGAACATAAACGACATAGTACCAAGACAAAGAAAAAATAAAGATATACAAACAGACAGCAGTATATTAATCAGGTATATCTAATACTACAGTATACCCTAGGTTATATGTTTACTTTAGATGAATTTAGCTGTTATGTTTAAATCTTTTCAAGTCATATAGCTCTTCTGTATAAGAACTGGTTTGGTTCTTATACACGCTTGGCTTTCAAATATTCGGTTTTGAACGATCCTGATGAAATCAAATATGAAAAGTGCTTCGGACGCATGGAAGTACATATATTGAACGTACCTTTGTGACGTTAATAACGTACGTATGACTAGCTTGTCTACCTTTTATATTGGAGAAGGGGTTGCAGAATGGTATACATTTTGGCAAATAACTAGCTGTAAACTATTCGTTTAGTCTATATTGAAAAATATGTCTCCTTACAAAGGAGATAAGTCATATATTTGATAAATCTGAGAATGTCAATTGTTTATATTCGATTGTTTCTACGTATTAAAAGCACTTTGTCTTTTTTAAACAAACACAGCATGATACATTTCATAAGGCTGTTTCTTAGAAATACTACGTCTACGTTTTCAAATCATTTAAGGAAGAGTGATTAAAATTGAGAATGGAAATGGGGAATGTGTCAAAGAGACAACAACCCGACCAAAGGGCAGGAAACAGTCAAAGGCCACCAATAGATCTTCAACACAGCGAGAAAATCCCACACCCGGAGGCGGTCTTCAGCTGTCCCCTTAACAAAAATCTGTACTAGTTCAGGGAAAATGGACGTCACACTAAACTCCGAAACATATATAATCTTCTCAGGTAATTGTCAAAAAGAAAGATCAGATTGATAACAAGAAGTAGATTTCTTGTAAATGGTATAAGTCATTATATTCTTCATATTCGGTTAATCAATTACCATTTGGAACATTGTGTTGGTTTTAATGTTCTACTAACTAAAATGAAACGGAACAATTAGAAATATTTTCACTACACATTTTTACTAGACAACATTTCTTTATCGTATTATTCATATATCAGTCGATTTTAACTGTTTTAAACAGTTTTACATATCTTTGTCTATACAAGAAAGGCCATTAAAATAAAGAATGGAAATGGGAAATGTGTTAAAGAGACATCAACCCGACCAAAGGGCAGGTAACAGCCAAAGGCCTCCAATAGGTGTTCAACACAGCGAGAAAATCCCACACCCGGAGGCGGGCTTCAGCTGGCCCCTTAACAAAAATATGTACTAGTTCAGGGAAATGGACGTCACACTAAACTCCGAAACATGTAAATGAAATGAAATTTAAAACAAAGATACAGGACTAACAAAGACCAGAAGGTTCTGACTTGGGACTGTTTACAAATTTGATCTATATTCATTTAATAAACAATGCACATCCAATTGTACATCGATTAAACATTCTGAAAATTTTTTTTTTCTCTGAAGACAATTTATTTCAGTTGCGGATTACACCTGAAATCAATTATTGGTATTTAGCACTATTTCAGATTATGTTAAAACCCTCATTGACTATGATAAGAATATGTTATTTGATATGATTAAGTAAAACACCTCAATAAATTTCCCGTTGTAATGATCTGTATTGGGTCATTTTGTTAACTAGTTTTCAAATATAATTAAGGAACGTCACCTTTAGAATGTAGTTGTTCTTGTTAACATTTTTGTAATATTTCGTATGTGTACCTTTTCTCGGCTATAAAACTGTTGTCTAGAAGCAATGATCACTCAACTCAATAGTACAAGTTTAATTACTACCAGAGTGTCAGGAGACGTTAATGAACAGTTATCAGGCTATAGGTTAATTCTGATATCAGTATTGACATGTGGTTTGCCTCAAAATTGCATAGTCGTCTCTTCTCAGGTAATTGTCAAAAAGTAAGATCAGATTGATAACAATTAGTAAATTTCTTGAAAATTGTATAAGTCATTATATTCTTGATACTCAGTTAGTCAATTATCATATGAAACATTGTGTTGGCTTTAATTTTCTACTGAATAAAACGAAACGGAACCATTAGAAATATTTTCACTACACATGTTTACTAGACAACATTTCTTTATTCTTTTATTCATATATCAGTCGATTTTAACTGTTTTAAACCGTTTTGCATATCTTTGTTCATACACGAAAGGCGATTAAAATCGAGAATGGAAATAGGGAATGTGTCAAGAGACAACAACCCGACCAAAGGGCAGGAAACAGTCAAAGGCCACCAAAAGGTCTTCAACATAGCGAGAAAATCCCACACCCGGAGGCGGGCTTCAGCTGGCCCCTTAACAAAATTGTGTACTAGTTCAGGGAAAATGGACGTCACACTAAACTCCGAAACATATAAATGAAATACAACTAAAACAAAGATACAGGACTAACAAAGACCAGAAGCTCCTGACTTGGGACTGTTTACAAATTCGATCAATATTCATTTAATAAACAATACACATTCAATTGTTCATCGATTAAACATTCTGATAAAAACATGTACTTTTTGTCTCTGAAGAAAATTTATTTCAGTTGTGGATTAAAACAAAGATACAGGACTAACAAAGACCAGAAGCTTCGGACTTGGGACTGTCTACAAATTCGATCAATATTCATTTAATAAACAATACACATCCAATTGTACATCGATTAAACATTCTGAAAAAAAAAAAAAAAAATTTCTCTGAAGAAAATTTATTTCAGTTGTGGATTACACCTGAAATCAATTATTGGTATTTAGCACTAATTCAGATTATGTTAAGACCCTCATTGTCTTTTATAAGAATATGTTATTTGATATGATTAAGTGAAACACCTCAATAAATTTCCCGTTGTAATGGTCTGTATTGGGTCATTTTGTTAACTAGTTTTCAAATATAATTAGGGAACATCAACTTTAGAATGTAGTTGTTCTTGTTAACATTTTTGTAATATTTCATATGTGTACCTTTTCTCGACTATAAAACTGTTGTCTAGAAGCAATGATCACTCAAATCAATAGCACATGTATAATTACTACCAGAGCCAGAGTGTCAGGAGACGTAAAAGAACAGCTATCAGGCTATATTGGCTTTCCTCAAAATTACATAGTCGTCTCTTCTCAGGTAATTGTAAAAGTAAGATCAGAT